CAACCTCCACCTCCTAGGTTCAAGCAATTCTCCTGCCTCGGCCTCCCAAGTAGCTGGGATTACAGGGACCCACCACCATACCCAGCTAATTTTTGTATTTTTAGTAGAGATGAGGTTTTACCATGTTGGCCAGGCTGGTCTCGAACTCCTGACCTCAGGTGATCCACTCGCCTCAGCCTCCCAAAGTGCTGGGATTACAGGCGTGAGCCACTGTGCCCAGCCTTATAAATTATTTTCATACCATATAGAAAGCATAATGATAAGAATATGCATACTCTATCTACCGTGTTGTTATGGAAATACAGAAGAAAAGCAATGAACTCAATCTGAGTAGAGTTAGGGGTGTGGAGCCTATCAACAAAGGTTTCCTAAGGGAGGTGATAGCTGAGCAGTCTTTAAAATGAGTAGAAGTTAGGAAGGCAGAAAAAAGATTATATTCCCAGCAGAGGTGACATTAGAGGCTCGTAACTGATCAACTTGGGTTTGTGCATGGAATTGCAAACCAATTAGTATTCCTAGAGCATGAAGAAGAGGTAGGGTAGCTGAGATTGGGAGGATTGAGCAAGGGCCAGATCATGGTGGGCCTTGTATGTACCACATTAAGGCTCTTGGATTTTATTCTAGGGTAGTGAAAAGCAGTTGAGGATGATTAAGCAGGATAGTGATATTGTCATGTGTTTGTGTGTGTAGATTTCCCTAGCAGCCTTGGGGGAAAGTGATTTGAAGGAGACAGCTGACTGCAGGCAGACCAAGTAGGAGATTGGAAGTATCCAACAGAGATAAAACTAATGCATGAAATAGGGAAGTGGTGGTGGGTCAGAGCCAGGGACAAATTCCAGAAATATTTAGGAGCAAAATGGTCAGAATTTAGGGATTAATTAGATGGGAAGATGAGAGAGAGAAACATCTGACAAGTCCCTAGTTTCTGGTCTGCATGAGTAGGTAGCTAATGTGACACAAAGATAGAAAATACGGAAACAGGAGCAAATTTGTCCACTCTTCCCTAGCCCACCACCCAACATCTACCTACTTCGTCTGTCTCAGCAGACAACCCTGCCTCCTCTTTCATCAGGAAAATTGAGGACATCATAATTACCTCTCTTAACTAGCTGCTCTAACGTGTACCTACTCTCTATCTGGTCCCTCACACATCCTTATCTCTTTCCAAGCTCTCAAACATTGAGTGATCTTTCCTGGCTCAAGTAAAGCCCACCACCTGTGCATCCCATCTGCTTCTAGGACCTTGTTCTATGCATTACTTTCTTGCTCTCTTTTATTCTCCGCTTCTTCATCCATTATTGCTTTATCGCCTTCTCTTCAAAACTTTCAGAATCCTTGTCTATACTCATTGTAATCACTTCCTTACTTCTCAACCCATTGCAGTTTGACTAACAGATTTCCCAACACACGTATATACATATATACAAACCAAGTATCTGAGTCTAATGAAATTTTTTTGGCCCTTACAGTTTCATCTTTTAGATCTGTGGTTCCTTGATGGAGGCACTGTGGGACATCACAAACTATTTTAAATATTTACGGGAAACACTGATACTTGACATCTGTCATGCCCCGTGCAAACTGCAAGTTCAAAGTAGTACAGTTTCAACATTAGATCACCCTGCATTTATTTCAACAATGTCAGGACTTTGTGAAGCTGGGTTTTCCATGGTTGCCGTGATAAAATGCATGCACTGCACAAAAATCTGTGGAACAGGAAATGACACTGACAGTGTCCACAAATTCCAAGGTTTGAGAAGTTGTATAGTGCTCAGCAGGTTCACACATGCTATTAAATACTTGTGATTAGTTAAGAATGAAATAGGAATATGATTTTTTCTTTTAGTGTCTGTGTATTATTTTTTAAGTCACTTTTAAGCTGTTAGGACATAGATACTTACTAGGTTGTTCAGACCTAATGACTTTAAAAATTGAACTGTTAAGCATTTCTTTTAGCTTGGGAGACACTGAAAAATTTACAGGAACACTAAAGGTGCTGAGAACCTCTGACCTACACCTTAGCTTCCCGGTATTGACCCCTTGGCTTTCACCATTACCAAAACACAGGGAGCTGTGGGCATCCAAGACCAAGATAGTATAAATGTGCCCTTGAACGAATCATACTTCATTTTGTTAATTTGTGTGGATCAATAAAATTAGAAAGATACTCCTTTCACATGAAAGTTACATTTGAGAATAACTTCATATATTTTATTTTAATACATTGACTAAAACCTTTTTTTTTTTTTTTTTTTTGAGACAACGTCTCATTGTCACGCAGGCTGAAGTGCAGTGCGTGATCTCAGCTCACTGCAGCCTCAACTTCCTGGACTCAAGTGATCCTCCTGCTTCAGCCTCCTGAGTAGCTGGGGCTACAGGCATGCACCACCATGCCCAGTTAATTTTTGTATTTTTTGTAGAGATGGGTTTTCACCATATTGTGTAGGCTGGTCTCGAACTCTGGACTCAAGCGATCCACCTACTTCAGCCGACTAAAGTGCTGGGATTACAGGCATGAGCCACCACACCCAGCTGTATGGCACTCTAAAATTGTTTGGGCACATGATATATATGGGCTTAATGTCAACCAAATTTGAGTCCAACCTGTACCATTTCCTATCTAGTGTCAGCTAGCTTTATGCAAGTCATAGAACCTCTCTCACGATTTCCTTTGTCTTCCTTCATAAAATTGGCCTAACATGGGGAAGGAGGACGGGAAGACTTTCTCATGCTCTAAGAATTATACCTGCTTATATTTCTAAAAGAGAAATATTAAGTATTCAAATGCTATCAATAATAAATATTTTAAGCATACCATAATTATCATCATCATTGCTAGTTTTTCTAGCCCCTCAGATTCTGCATATTATCTTAAATCACTAAATGATCACTGAATCATTAGTCATTGCCAGTGCTAGATACTGTCCAAGGCAAATATAGTCCTCAAAACATAGTCCTGGTCCCTGTATGTTATATAATTTTAGAATAATGTCATATAAATCATATGGTACATGTATACATAGTAAAATATATATTTAGGTTTTGTGTTTTAACTAATATCTGTTTACTCTAGTGTTTGTTAACCATGGTGTTATGGAAAAACTTAAGCTCTGAAATGAGACAGAGCTTGGTTGAGAACTCAGCATTGCCATTACAGGCTGTGCAGCTAAAGTGCAATTTCACAAATGCCAATGAGAGAATAATGAACTCCTCAGAGTTGTTGTGGGGGTTGATGATGACCCATGCAAAGTGCTTATGTATCATGTATATAAAAGGCGTTGAACAAATGTTAGTTTTTATCCCCAGCAGTAAGAAGCAATGAAAGCAGGATTTGGGCATATTTATGCTGAAAATTAAAAGATTCTATCAGGATATAAAGAAATGGGTTTAAGCAGGTTGTAAAGAATCCAGGATAAGAGTGACTGATTTTAAGATGAATTAAATGGTATTTGTTACATTTAATTCATACTAGTGGAAATATTTCAATGATACTGGTTGTTCTAGGCAGCACTTAATATGAAAAAAAAAATGAGTTATGATACATGTCTATTCCTTTAATGATAACTTTTTTTAAATACAGTTTAAACAAGAGAGTAGGCTGGGCACGGTGGCTCATACCTGTAATCCCAGCACTTTGGAAGGCCAAGGCAGGTGAATCATTTGAGGTCAGGAATTCAAGACCAGCCTGGCCAACATGGCGAAACCCTGTCTCTACTAAAAATATAAAAATTAGCTGGGCATGGTGGCAGGTGCCTGCAGTCCCAGCTACTCAGGAGCTGAGGTACAAGAATTGAACCCAGGAGGTGGAGGCTGCTGTGAGCTGAGATCATGCCACTGCACTCCAGCCTGGGCAACAGAGTGAGAGACTGTCTCAAAAAAAAAAAAAAAAGGAGTAATACAACAAATTCCCATTTACTCAAAACTAACAAATTTCATCTCTCCGTCATATTTGCTTCAGATATTTAATTTTCCTGTTAAAAGAATTAAATACTTTCAGTAAGGGTAAAGCTCCCTTTATACTGTTTTCTAGTCCCTTTCCTCTTCCTTCCTCCTCAGATAGAATTTGATGTGGATTCTCTCATTCAAATTTTTATATTAATACTGATCCTAAATATATATGCATAAATAATTTTTATGACTATACTTTCAAGTTTATGTATATTTTGTAAGTGTCCTAATCCTTGCTTTTTTTAACCTTATATTTTTGAGATATAACCAATTCATGGAATGTTTATAATGCCATTCTTCATTTTTCAATTTGTCAACACTTTCTCATCCATTGATTCAGATGAAGAGTGTAATAGCAGCTCACACTATAAAAGGGTTGAGAACTACTGACTTTAAATACCTTTCTGGTTTGAACTACACCATTATTTTAAGAGTTCCATACTATTCTATTATATTTCTTTGCTTAAGAGTTTAAATTCTAGCCAACATTTATTTTCAGTGTGGTTAAAACAACAACAGAAAAAAAGGTCAGGCATGGTGGCTCATGCCTGTAATCCCAATACTTTGGGAGACTGAGGTAGATGGATTGCTTCAGCCAAGGAGTTCAAGACCAGCATGGGCAACATGGTGAAACTCCATCTCTACAAAAAATTAGCTGCATGTAGTGGTGCACACCTGTAGTCTCAGCTAGTTGGGAGGCTGAGGTGGGAGGATCACCTGAGCCAGGGAAGTTGAGGCTGCAGTGAGCGAAGATTGCACCACTGCACTCCAGCCTGAGCCACAAGAGTTGAGACACTGCCTCAAAAAAAAAAAAAAAATCACATTTTGTATGATATGCAAATTGATCTGTCTACAACCAAAGCTTACCATTAATCTACAGCTATGCCCCATCATTCAAACTTGTTCAAAAGAAATTGTATTATAGAAATTGTACTTCTAGAAAGAATATGGATTAAATCTCATTGTAGATTTTGCATAAAATGATGAACTTCTGATACCAAATACCTTTGTTCAGGCTTTGTCTCTTGTTTTTGTTGTGTTGTTTTTAACAGCTTCATCACTGGTCCAGCTGTAATACCGGGGTACTTCTCCGTTGATGTGAATAATGTGGTACTCATTTTAAATGGAAGAGAAAAAGCAAAGATCTTTTATGCCACCCAGTGGTTACTTTATGCACAAAATTTAGTGCAAATTCAAAAACTCCAGCATCTTGCTGTTGTTTTGCTCGGAAATGAACATTGTAATAATGAGTGGATAAACCCATTCCTCAAAAGAAATGGAGGCTTCGTGGAGCTGCTTTTCATAATATATGACAGCCCCTGGATTAATGACGTGGATGTTTTTCAGTGGCCTTTAGGAGTAGCAACGTAAGTAAAAATATGATGAAACATTCTTAGACCCTAACACCTGAATTTCTGAACCAGGAAGACTTATTCAAAATTGTAATAAATTTAGTTCTTCTGGGATTATTGAGGCCAGGTACAGTCTTTCTCAGCGATAAAAATAGGGTGTGGTTGCATCCTTCAATAACAATTATGATGTTTTTAAGAGTATTTTATTCTTTAATGGGGAGATGAGTTACTTTTTTCTTTTAAAACCCCAAGGCATAGAATGGATTTTTCAAGCTCATTAGGAGTACCATAAAAAGATATTTAGCAGAGAAATGGCAGATTGACTTTTTTTAAAAACAATGGTAGTATCTATTTATAGTAAAAAAAAAAAAAAGCAATATTATTATATCAGGAATATACTGTACCATTCTGTTTGAGACTGGCTGAATTTATACAAATCCCTTCTATAAAAGGAGGGATTAATTAAATGATAGCTAAGGTTTCTCAAGATACAGTCTTTTATGTCAGGTGCAGTGGCTCACTGCCTGTAATCCCAGCACTTTGGGAGGACAAGGTATGTAGATTGCTTGAGTCCAGGAGTTCAAGAACATCCTGGGCAACATGGCAAAACCCTATCTCTACAAAAACAAACAAACAAAAAATCAAAAATTATCCAGGCATGGTGGCATGGACTCCTGTATGGCACCTGTAGTCCTGGCTACTCGTGAGGTTGAGGTGGGAGGATCACTTAAGTCCAGGAGATTGAGCTGAGATGAGATTGCACCACTCCACTCCAGCCTGGGCAACAGAGTGAAATGAGACTGTCTCTCAAAAAAAAATAAAAAACAAAAAGATACAGTTTTTCTCCAACTATAAAATGAAAAGCATATTTTTATCTTTCTGTTAATAGGATGTTTTTAATTAAGAGCAAGTTGACTTTAAGGTAAGTTGCCACTAGTATATAAACCTGAGAGCAGGGATTTTTCTCTCTTTTGTTCACTGCTCTATCCACAGAGCCTAAAACAGCACCTGCACAGAGTAGACATTCTGTATTTGTTGAGTGGATGAATTATGAAAAATCTCACTGACATGATTTTTGAATCATACATTCATTATTCATTATTCTGTCACTGGTTGCTGGATGTGGCCTTAGACTGCTGCCTAGTTAGCGACACAGATGTCACCGGCACATCTGTGCCAGTAATGAGATGTATTCTCAGGCCTACTCCTATGATATCCTGACTCAGTAGGTTTGGGGTAGGGCCAGACAAAAAGGTTTTTGTTAAGTAAAGCCAGGATTAAGACCCTCTTAAAAATCTATTTTTTGAGCAGAGCCTGCGTTCGTAAAATGTTTTCATACAGTATAAGATGGAACCTCTTGGTAATCACGGTATTGTTTCACTAGGCCAGTATATTTCTTATATAGGTCAGTGGTTCTCAACCAGGGGCAATTTTGCTGACCAGGAGGCATTTGGCAGTGTCTGGAGACTTTTTTTTTTTTTTTTTTTGAGACAAAGTCTTGCTCTGTCACCCCAGCTGAAGTTCAGTGGTACAATCTCGGCTCACTGCAACCTCTGCCTCCCAGGTTCAACCGATTCTCCTGCCTCAGCCTCCCAAGTAGCTGGGATTACAGGTGGGCACCACCACTCCTGGCTGATTTTGTATTTTCTGTAGAGAGGGGGTTTCACCATGTTGGCCAGGCTGGTCTCAAATTCCTGACCTCAAGTGATCTGCCTGCCTCAGCCTCCCAAAGTGCTGGGATTTCAGGCATGAGCCACTGTGCCTGGCCTGGAGACATTTTTGATTGTCACAACTGGAGGAAAGAGGTTGTCAAAACTGGTATCCAGCAGATAGAGCCCAAGGATGCAGCTGAGCACCCCACAATGTATAGGACAGCCTCCACGAGAAAAAATTAACCCAAAATGTCAGTAATGCTGAGGTTAAGAAACCCTGTTATATACTAACTGTTAGGTAAAATTTTGTTCTCGTGTGAAGGTCATATTTCAGGTACACATTTTTAATCCCTGGTATTTCCAAATGCTTATAAAAAGAGGTAACTTTTCCTGTATGGCATACCATGTTTTTTTATCTGTCAGTTTATTTTAATCTACTTGAAAAGCCCTTGGGATTAATTTATCAGAGCCCTTTGCAATAGCAAAATATAAAATCTTTCCTTTTTTTTAAATTGACAAATAGTAATTGTATATGTTAATGGGGTACAAATGATGTTTTGAAATATGTTTACAATGTAGAATGCTTAAATCAGACTAACAAATCCATCACCTTATATACTTAACAATTGTGGTAAAAACATAAAATCTGTTTCAGCAATTTTGAAATATACAGTGCATTATTATTTATTATAGTCACCCTATTCTGTGTGATAGATCACTAAAGCTTATTCCTCCTGTCCAACTGAAACTTCATACCCTTTGATCAACATCTTCCTTTTCCCCATCCATCTGCCTCCCCTGGAGCATTCTGTAATCTTTTCATCACCTGGCTAAAATGTTGCTTAAATCATGATCATTATGAATACAGAAGAGTCTTTATAATTTGAAGGTTTTGAATGTAACATGCCTAACAGTTGCAGATGAGTAATGCAAGTTAAAGAATGTCAAAAACAAAGAACTTTAGGCACAAAATCTCTATGACAATTTTATAAGAGATGTCAATGTGAAATTCAATTTTTTAAGTTACTAGATTCAGGGAGCTTTGCAAAGTATGCATGGAAAATTACAATTTGAGATTTAGAAATCACATTTTAAACCTCTTTTATGTACTTCTTGCTACCTAAGAGGTTAGGTTAGGGGGATTTTTTGCCAATTCTATATCATATATTAATTCATGTGTATTTATTTTTAGAGATATAAGGAATTTTCCTGTGGTGGAGATATATTAATTCATGTGTATTTATTTTTATAGATACAGGAATTTTCCTGTGGTGGAGGCAAGTTGGTCAATGCTGCATGATGAGAGGCCATATTTATGTAATTTCTTAGGAACGATTTATGAAAATTCATCCAGACAGGCACTAATGAACATTTTGAAAAAAGATGGGAACGATAAGCTTTGTTGGGTTTCAGCAAGAGAACAGTAAGTTCTATGCTTATTTAATTCATTCATTTTGTTGTCCAGTCTGAGAGTTGCTTTATGTAGAAACACAGGTTTCCAAAGAGGCATGGGTAACTCTGTACCAGTCTTTCCCCAGAGGATACATTAGTAATTAAAACTGTGAAGAGACTGGGTTGTACACATTTAAAATACGGAGAACCTCCTATGACTAGTCCATCTTGAAGAGGAACACTGGCAACTGTCATTTGCAAATTTCAGTTGTTAGGGTTTCCTCAGTAATATTTGTTAGTCACACAGGAGATTATAAATGCTAACGAGATACTTAGGTTCATCCCTGAGATGATGTGCAATGGACCAATTCAGTGTTCCAAGACTGGTGTGCAGCACCCCTCACAAATTCAGGAATTCAGGAATCTGACACCATCTTCAGGACACGGACATTGTATTCTTCTTCTGTGAATCCCCAGATCTAACATAGGACCTTGCACCAAGTCAGCCTAGGATAAATGGTGAGTGGATGAATGGTTGGATAGGGAGACTTGATAGGGTTAAATTTCTTCTTTTGTGTAGTAACCAGGAAACAGGTATTCATGGTGTGAAGGAAGTAAATTTACAATCATTTATTTTGTTTTTAAATAGGCAAATCAAGTTTTCAAATAAAGCATAATGCAGAGTCATGAGGGAAGTAATGCCTTAAAAAATGTCCGGTTAGGTCTGGAATTTTACTTTTTAAATGATAACAGGTACTCTTTATTGCTAATGTAACCATACCATATTCATTCAGTCAGTGTTTACCAAGCAATTGCTCTATGCCAGAAACTGTTTACCCACAGTAAATACAGCAGTGAACAAAACAAAGTCCATGCCTTCCTGGCACTTAAATGCTTGTTGGAGGAGACAAGCAAGTAAAATATATTGTGTGTCAGAAGATGATAAATGCCCTGTAAAAAATTAAGCAGAAGAATGGCATAGAGAGGGCTTGGGTGTTGGTGGTGGAGCATTTGCTATTTTGGAATAGCCAAGGAAGGCATTCATTAGAAGGTTTCATTTATGCACAGGCCTTAAGAATGTGCACTGGTGAGTCTTGTGTATATATGGGACAAGACTATTCCAGACAGAGGGAAAAGTGAAAGCCCTGAGGCAGGAGTGTGCTTACTATGTTACAGGAACAACAGGGCCAGTATGTCTAGAGTAGAATGAGATGAGGACAGTATAAAATAACAAAGGTTATTATGGGAATAATTCTTGTAACTCCTCTCATACCATTGAGCCAGAAGTTGAGTAGATGTTTTCCTTGTTTCTCATTGTTGCTTCTAGACTATTCTCCCCTTTTCCTCCCTAATAATCCCAATTTTGAATCTCATGTCAGCAGACAAAACCATCCATCACCCTTACTCTCTGAAATCATGCACTTACCCTTGGGTTTATCCCCCTACTTCTTCGAAGAGTTTAGCTCCTGGTACTCTCTAACTCTGTCTGACACTACTCTGTTCTCAATTTTTGGTGACTGCCAAATCTGCATACATGGTCTTTCTATCATTTTGGTCTTTGCAGTTCCTTCACCTTCCCTCCTCCAATGATCTGGGCTTCCACCCAACCTCAGCCATTCTCTCTCATGGTCATTTCCTAGACTTGGTCATTACATATACTGCACCTTCTCAACATGATCTCAAGTCCCAGCATCTCTTTCTACAACCACCATCATCTGTCATTCCAGCTTATTCCCTGTAATAATCTGACTCTGACAGTTCAGCTGGCACTTAGAATCTATTGTTCCTACTGCCCTTCTGTTGTCCTTCACTCCCCTCTCTTCATTTTATTCTTTACCCAACTTAAATTTCATTGTCAATCATAATTGCCTATACCTTCAGCTCCCTATTCCCCTAATCTGGCAAACCATAACTCTGGTTAAATCCAGCTGTCTGCCTACTCCGTGCCTGCACCCATGCGGCTAAACATAATTGGAGAAAGGTGCTAATTGACCTTGATTTAAACACATGACTTTGAACCTCAGGTGCCCAGCAGTCTTATATTTCCCTGGTCCCTATATTCTCCCACTCTCCTAGGAGACTGTTTTATACCTTCTTCTTTCTCCACTCTTAACACCTCCACCTTTCTTAGTTTATGACCCTATTGCTTATTTCACTGAGAATAGTCAGGAGAAATTTTTTTTTTTTTTTTTTTTTTTTGAGACTGAGTTTCACTCTTGTTGCCCAGGCTGGAGTGCAGTGACACATTCTCGGCTCACTGCAACCTCCGCCTCCCAGGTTCAAGCGATTCTCCTGCCCTAGCCTCGCAAGTAGCTGGGATTACAGGTGCCCGCCACCACACCCAGCTAATTATTGTATTCAGTAGAGATGGGGTTTTACCTTGTTGGCCAGGTTGGTCTCGAACCTGACCTGAGGTGATCCACCCGCCTCAGCCTCACAAAGTGCTGGGATTACAGGCATGAGCCACCGCGCCCAGCCACATGTATCTTTCTTTACTGATCTTTCAGCTTCTACCCTTGCCCCTGTACAGTCCATTCTCAACACAATAGCCAGATTGATTCTGATGAAACCTACATCACGTCGTGTCACCCCATGATCAAAAGCCTGCATGATAGAGTCCGGTGTGACCATTCCAACTTTATCTTCTGTGCCTGCTTCCTCAGTTACCCTACCTCAGCCACCCTGGCTTCCCCGCAGCTCCTTGAGCATGCCAGGCACATGCTGTCTCATGGCCTTCACTCTTGCTTGCTCTTTTATCCCCCAAGATCTACATGGCTTGCTCCTTCATCCCCAACTCTGTGCTCAGATGCTGCTGCAGTGAGACAGTCCCTCATCACTTATTTAAGATTGCAACCCTACCCCCTCAGAAACTCCTGCTCTACTTACTCCTGTGCTTTTTTCTCATAGTATTCTACCCCATCTAAATGATCTACTGACTTCACTTGGTCACTATCCATCTCCACCACCAGAACTAGAATATATGCTCCATGAGGGTAAGGTAGGGAAGAGAGGACCTAGCACTCCGAAAGTATAGGTTGAATTATCATTATCCATTCAGAAGTGTTACGGTGACTACTGGATTTTATAAATGTACAACTGTAAAATGTTCAAATTCTTCAACATTTTTAAGAAATCTATTTGGGCCAGGATTTTGGATATCTCTTATGCCTGTCATCTCTATAAGTTTCACCATTTCCTGAAACTGATTTTATTAAAAGATAAGGTATTTCTGTTCACAAAATACATACTTAGTAAAGTGAAAACTACAGTTGTTTTTCTGATTTTTTTAGCTGGCAGCCTCAGGAAACAAATGAAAGTCTTAAGAATTACCAAGATGCCTTGCTTCAGAGTGATCTCACATTGTGCCCGGTCGGAGTAAACACAGAATGCTATCGAATCTATGAGGCTTGCTCCTATGGCTCCATTCCTGTGGTGGAAGACGTGATGACAGCTGGCAGCTGTGGGAATACATCTGTGCACCACAATGCTCCTCTGCAGTTACTCAAGTCCATGGGCGCTCCCTTTATCTTTATCAAGAACTGGAAGGAACTCCCTGCTGTTTTAGAAAAAGAGAAAACTATAATTTTACAAGAAAAAATTGAAAGAAGAAAAATGTTACTTCAGTGGTATCAGCACTTCAAGGCAGAGCTTAAAATGAAATTTACTAATATTTTAGAAAGTTCATTTTTAATGAAAAATAAAAGTTAACTTAATTTTTTGAGCTAAGATGTGATTTTTAAAATCATTTTGACTACTGAGTGTATAAGTGTGTTTTTGTGTGTGTATTTATAGATGTTCTTTAAGATAGCCTTGAAAAGTCTAGATGATGTATGTCACGATGACCAAGTGCTCCCTTATTAGGCCACTCCTGTGTACAAGCTAAAAATGTAGTTAAACTGTTACTGAGATTCACTTCTACAGAGCTGAATGAGTCAACATTTACCAGCTATTCTCACCAATGCATACCCACTCTATAAAATGGGGGCTTCAGGGCTGGGGTTATTGAAACAGTTGCAGAGATGGGGATTTGTCCGTCGAAGGATACAAAATTTCAGTTACACAGGAGGAATAAGTTCACGAAATCTGTTATACAACATCATGACTATAGTTAATGACAATATATTGCATTTTTGAAAAATGCTGAGATTGGATGTTAAGGGTTCTCACCACAGAACTGTGAGGTAATGCATATGTTAATTAGCTGTAGTCAATCAACTATATATATATACTTCAAAACATCATATTGTACATGGTAAATCATACTATTTTATCTGTCAATTTATAAATAACTATCAGAATGCAAATAAACCCACTCTAGGACACAGCATTATGTAGTTGAAAGGCCATGTTTTGGAGTCAGACAAAATCTGTGTTAAAACATTGCCTCTGTACCTTCTAACCAAGGACCTTGAGCAAGCCACCTAAGCATTCTGAGTCTTACTTCCTTTTGTTATAAAATGAAGATAATTTATCTTCACAGGTTTGGTTGTAAATATGAAATGAAATATAAAGTACCTCGTGTGTGTGTATTACACACTAGGCACATACACTAGGTACTTTATGTGTGTATACACACACATGTAACTAAAATAGTGATTTTTAATCCATTTTAGGGTTAGGGTTAGAGCCCAGGGGTCTCAGGTTACAGTGAGCTATGGCCATGTCACTAAGAGGCACTCCAGTCTTGGGGATAGAGCAGGACCCTGTCTTTTAAAAAAAAAAGTGTGTCCCATCATCAGAAGGTCTGGAAGCCTGGATGCAAAGGACCTTAACTTTGTTGGAGAGTCAAAGAGCCTGCTGCAACCCTATCCAATTCTAAGGGAAGTTGCCCCACCTACAGCCCCTGCTAATGGCAGTGCACACAGATGACTCTCAGCTTCTGTCCCCACCTTACGTCACAGCTGTGGGCACTGATTCACGGCATCCTGTTGATAGGCTTCCTAGTGATCCCAGATATTGAAACAAAAAAGAAATGAGGCAAACAAGTTCAAGGCATTTTGAACTAGGAAATACTGAGGACCTGGGAATCAACTATAAGAGCAAAACAGGATGCAATGGAGTAGGAGCTATGAACTAGCATCAGGGCTATGAGAGAAGTAAAGATATTAGCAACAAGGTCAAGGAGAGGGCCAATCCTGTGCCCAGAGTTGCCCCCATGGGTTTACTACCCCAGCCCCCATGAGTTTTGAGACTGCATTTTTCTTACCCCCATGTGAGTCATCAGAATTACGTTTTCTATCCCTCATTTCCTTGGTTACTTGAGCTGACTTCCAAACCAAAAGAGTCCAACACAGTGACCATATGTTCCATCTTCCGGAGTCTCCATTCTGCCTTCCCCTTGAACAGGGATGTGTGCTGGGTCCAAGGCTTTAATACAGTTCTTTGACTAGAAGGAGTCCCTGTACTGTATTTCACCAACAAGATTGTACCATCTTTCTCTTTATATGAGACTTACTGTTGCCTATAATCTTTTCAAGAATGCTTTCTGCATTGATGTATTGGTTGCCAGCAGTCTTTGGAATGTCAAGACCATGGGGCAAGAGAAAGTGAATTATATCAAAAGAAATTTCCCAATGTTCTCTAACATCTTTTCTTACCATATGGAGATTCTGGGTAACTAAGGGGCCAACTCTAGGCCATCCGTTGGTTCTAAAACTAGTGAGAAATCTGCCTGCATAGTTTTGGTGGTTTTATTACAAAATCAGAGTCCGTAAAGTTTGAAGCGCTAAAACTTACCAAGATCTGGGTTCAAATCTAATGGCTATTTAGAATATATATCTCATCTCTTCCTGGCCTTTTGGCTAAGATCAAGTGTCTTGCTCTGTCACCCAGGCTGGAGTGCTCTGGACTCACTGCAACCTCTGCCTCCTGGGTTCAAGCAATTCTTGTGCCTCAGCCTCCCAAGTAGCTGAGATTACAGGCATGTGCCACCACGCCCGGCTAATTTTTGAATATTTTATAATACGCACTATGTACCAGGAATTTAGCTAAATGTTAGGAATTTTTTTAAAAAGAAAAAAACTAGTCCTGTCCTCAAGGACTCACAGCCTGATGGGGAAGATCGTTATGTAAGTATTACAGAATGTTCATTCTAAGAATTTGTGTAGACATTTATGAAGAGCCGTGGGAACTCAGAGAAATGGCTGTTCAGGGGTACAGCCTTCAGACTTGTCCTGAGTGGAATTTAAAGGATGAATAAATTGGTTGCATCTTTCAGTACCAGCAAAGAGATATTGGAGCAGCATTTATTTTTCTCTTCTCTGAAATCAACTGACACTGGGTGCAGTAGCTCATGCCTATAATCCCAGCACTTGGGAAGGCCAAGGCAGAAGGATTGCTCAAGGCCTGCACAACACAGTGAGACCCCGTCTCTACAAAAAGAAAACAATTTTTTAAATTAGCCAGGTGTGGTGGCATGTGCCATAGTCCCGGCTGCTCAAGAGGCTGAGGCAGGAGGATTGCTGGAACCCGAGAGTTTGAGGCTGCAGTGAGCTATGACTGTGCCACTGCACTCCAGCCTAGATGACAGAGCAAGACTCTGTTTATTAAAAATTAATTAATTAATTAGGACTGAGAACTTTCAGGCACAGGTACATTGGTTTGAGAGACTGAGGCTCCTGGAGATGAGAATAGGATATTCAAGTTAACTGCCTCTAGGTCTGTAGAACCATTGATCTGTGCAGGCACAGAATTGCAGTCATCTCCATCCATGAGGATGAATTTATCACAGAGGGGATCACCAAAAACTGATTCATTGTGGTAGCACCACATGTGTACACATGTGTGTGCCACATAATGACATTTCAGTCAATGGTGGACTACATATTTGATAGTGGTCCCGTAAGATTATAATGGAGCTGGAAAATTTCTGTCACCTAGTGATGTCATAGCCTAGTGATGACATATGTAGTGCAATACATCACTCACGTGTTTGTGGTGATGCTGGTGTAAACAAATCTATTGCACTGCCAGTCAAGTAAAAGTACAGCAATTAGGTCTGGTACATAATACTTAATAATGACAATAAATGACTATGTTACTGCTTTATGTATTTACTATACTATACTTTTTACAATTTGTATTAGTTCTTGCATTGCTATAAATAAATGCCTGAGATTGAGTAATTTATAAAGAAAAGAGATTTAATTGGCTCACATTTTCACAGGCTGTACCAGAAGCATGACAACTTCAGGAGACTTACAATCCTGGCAGAAAGCGAAGGGGAAGCAGACATGTCTTCACATGGCCAGAGCAGAAGGAAAAGGGGGTGGGTGCTACACACTTTTAAATAACCAGATCTCACGAGCACTCAGTTATTACCAGGAAAGCAGCACCACGGGAAATCCACCTCCATGACCCACTCTCCTCCCCGCAGGCCCTGCCTCCAACACTGGGGATCACAATTCTACATGAGGTTTGGGTGAGGCACAGATCCAAACCATATCATCATTATTTTTGAGTGTACTGCTTTTACTTATTAAAAAAAAAAAAAAAGTTAAACAGCCTCAGTCAGATCCTTCAGGAGGTATCCAGAAGAAGAAAGCATTGCTATCACAGGAGACGGCAGCTCCATGCCTATTATTGCCCCTGAAGGCCTTGTAGTGGGGTGAGATATAGAGACGGAAGACAGTGATGTTAATGATTCTTACTCAGTCTAGGCCTAGGCCAATGCGGGTGTTTGTGTCTTCATTCTTAACAAAAAGTAAGACAATAAAAAGTAACAAATTTTTTAAATTTTTAAATAGACGAAAGTTTATAAAATAAGGATATAAAAAAGAAAAATATTTTTGTGCAGCAGTACAATGTATGTTTTCAACAGTGTTATTACAAAATAATCAAAAGGTTTAAAAAGTGTATAAAGTAAAAACGTACAGTAAGCCAGTAAGCTAACATTAATTTATTCATCAAGAAAGAAAAATATTTTATCTTTTTCTTTTTTTTTTTTTTTTTTGAGACGAAGTTGTTCTTATTGCCCAAGCTGGAGTGCAGTGCCATCATCTTGGCTCACCACAGCCTCCGCCTCCCAGGTTCAAGCGATTCTCTTGCTTCAGCCTCCCAAGTAGCTGGGATAGCAGGCACCCGCCACCACACCCAGCTAATTTTCTTTCTTTTTTTTCTTTTTTTTCAGTTTTTTTTTTTTTAATTTATTTATTATTATTATACTTTAAGTTGTAGGGTACATGTGCATAACGTGCAGGTTTGTTACATATGTATACTTGTGCCTTGTTGGTGTGCTGCACCCATCAACTCGTCATTTACATCAGGTATAACTCCCAATGCAATCCCTCCCCCCCCCCCCCCCCCCCCTCCCCCCTCCCCCCTCCCCATGATAGGCCCCGGTGTGTGATGTTCCCCTTCCTGAGTCCGAGTGATCTCATTGTTCAGTTCCCACCTATGAGTGAGAACATGCGGTGTTTGGTTTTCTGTTCTTGTGATAGTTTGCTAAGAATGATGGTTTCCAGCTGCATCCATGTCCCTACAAAGGACACAAACTCATCCTTTTTGATGGCTGCATAGTATTCCATGGTGTATATGTGCCACATTTTCTTAATCCAATCTGTCACTGATGGACATTTGGGTTGATTCCAAGTCTTTGCTATTGTGAATAGTGCCGCAATAAACATACGTGTGCATGTGTCTTATAGCAGCATAATTTATAATCCTTTGGGTATATACCCAGTAATGGGATGGCTGGTCATATGGTACATCTAGTTCTAGATCCTTGA